TGTACATGTACATATTATGATACTCAGTGAAAACTACTGATGAATAATGCTGGTATTCAGTATGTGTGTGTGTGTCTGTTTTTAGTGTGAATGTGTGTTTGTGTGTTTTTGTGTTTTGTGTTTGTTTCTTTACCTAAATATGTGTGAATATACATGTGTGTGTGTGTGTGTGTGTGTGTTTGTGTAAAGATGGATTCACAATTGATAGAGTGTCGATGCTGGAATTAAAATAAATTGTATTTTATATACATTGTATAGATTGTGTATGTACATACATGTATTTGTGTGTATGTGTGCATATGTTTTAATATGTTTATGTGTGTACTAACACGTACATCATGTGTACATGTAACATGTACATGTGTGTGTATGTGTGTGAGCAATTATGCATGCTTTACATGTAGCTTTATATGTGTATGCATGTATAGATGTAGATGTATGTGTGTTAGTGTGTCATTAGTATGTGTATGTGTATGTGTGTACATGCAGACACTTAGTAAGTTCTTAATTGAGGACTCACATGATATAATAACAGACTCAGTTGTGTATACTTGTCTATTAATATATTGTGTATTATTAATTTTATTATTTGATTTTTGTGTTACATAAAACACACTGTGCAGACTATAAAACTGTGAGTTAGTTATTGTGTTTATTAACCAGATATCAAATAAATTAATGTCATACACAAATTAATTATTATCATTTTCATTTTATAGATGAATCTACCAGTCAATGTCACTAGGAGATACTGGCATACTCTCTCAGTGTGGAGTGTGACCCCAACTACTAACTGGATAATTGAGTTTGGAGGAGGAATAGACAGCTACAGTACTGATACAGCAGTTATTGAACTCAGTAAGTACATGTAGACAGTAGTAGATACAATGTGTATTGAATATGTAATGATAATTAGTAATGATAATATTAGAATAAAGTAAGTAATTCTTATGATGAATATTTAATGAGAGCATTTGACGTATACCTATGATACTAATTATTACCAATTCATTCCTGCTATGTACAATAGTGAAACATAATGACTGCAGATACAGAAACACTGATATTAATAGGAGCTAGAGTGAATTAAATATTATTATCAGTGTATTTATATACAATAATATGTTCATGTGGTTAACTGTGTAAACTGACAGAGGTCACACATACAATGATTAAACATGAATCCATCAATAATAAGGTTACCATAGTAACTAAGTGTAATCAATTTGTGTACTTCTTATTCTCCACTATTTTGTTACTGTATAGGATATACTAGTGATAATGATTGGTCTACTAGTGTAATATGTCTGGGCCAGTATCAAGATCAACTAAGAAGAAGGATTCTGAGTGATTGGGAGAATTTAGGAACAGAAAAACAGCTTCAAATATTTCAAAATCGTCTGCAATTACAAAGAGAAAGAGAGTTCTATGAGGAACAGCTTCAAAGGGAAATAAAAGAGAAGGAGGAGCAGATACAGCAAGATCGAGACAAAGAGCAGCAACAGCTTCTTCAAGAAAAGGCAACACTTAGTCAGCAACTTGATGATGCTACCACTCTCCTTGAGCAAGCAGTAAAGGATAAATCAACTGTTGAATTAGGTACTATTGTGTTGTACTGTTGTTTATGTGTACATTGTTTACATTATGATACTAGTGGATTAGAGAATGTTGAGTATGGAAATAGTATCCTGTACTCAATATAGGTCAAATTGTCCATGCATTAGAAATAATGAGATTGATGTAGAGTGAGCTCTGCTTACCATATATGGTATGATTAGCAATAATCATAGTACATATATTTATGGGCTACTGTACATGAAGTACAAATTTGTATAAGCAATAAATATCTTTTTATCCTTAATAGAATATTACAAAAGGCTCAAAATTCAAGATACTCAAATATTGGAAGAGAAGACACAAGTAGAGGAGAAGAAACAGATTATTACTGGTTAGTGTATCATCAGTACATAATATTAGATGAGGGAATATTCCATTAATGTAGAAGATTATGAAAAACTGAAACTGAAAGTAGCTGATATGGAGGAACAATATCTCAAGGAG